TCCATTGTTCCGGTAGCGTTGTCAAACTGATAAACATATTTTCAGATGTCGTAATTACCTGTAATTCCAAAATCCTTTTGTCCCCGGTCACCAGATTTCCACTTGTGCACTTGGTCGTTGCTAGGGGATCATTTAGTGCTTTATGCTATGCAGGCATTGTTTGACGCTAGCCAACCATTTCCAGTTTAATGTTATTTGTTATTTACAAGATTCATCACCAGGTGGCGAAACGGTCGTTAATAATATGAAAGATGTGTCTTGTTAGATCCTTTAGGACCTTGAAACGCGCCCAAATTATTGAGCCACTTCCTCTTCGTACATAATTCAACCCCGAATATGTAAGCAGCGTGTTGCTTTCAAATACCGAGCAAGTAGGCTCAGTCAGTAAAGCTTCAGACCTGCATTTGGGAGGTGACCGGCTCGACTCTCGGCCGGGACAGACTGTCCTGAACGAGGTTTCTGTGGTTGTCCGACGTCCCTTCATGCCAGTGCCAAAGCAGTAACTCCGATAGCTCACGGACGCTTCGTTCCAGTTTATTCATTATTCATGTTATTAATCGACGCTATAGCGTGAATACTGTGGTACGCGGTAGCGTAGTTGGTTGAGGCGCTATGCTACAAGCCGGAAGGTCGTGGGTTTGATTCTCGATGTGAACGAAGGATTTTTTTTTTCAATTTACCTAACCCTTCCAGCCGCACCATGGCACTGGGGTCGATTCAGCCCCTAACAGAAATAAGTACCAGGAATCTTGCTGGGGGTAAAAGGCAGCCGGCGCGTAAAGCTGACAACCTTACCGCCATTTCTGAGCCGATTGTCTAGAGAAAATGTGGGAGCCTCGACGTCTCACAACCCTATGGGCATTCACGGCCTGTTAGAGGAATAGTTTTATCTAAGTATGTATACTGCAAGCATTGTAAAATAGCCATGAAATTAGGGGGATCCTGCAAGGCGTCTGTGTCCGCCTGCAGAACTTCACGGTGTCAAAACCCAAAGACCTTCATTTTCCATCTTATTGTTTACATTACTCATGAAGTTTATTTCAATATTATTTTAACTTCCACATATTGGGATGCGTAAAATTGGCGTATGATAGGAGCAGAAAACACATTTTTCAGTAGCTGTCTACAGTTTATTTCTAGATTACATCAGATAGTAAACAGATACTTTAAGTAATCGTTTAATAATTCTTTTCTAGAGGAACATTTGGCTAAAGTAAAGAGAAAAGGCGAGGAACACGAAACATTGTTGCGTCACGGTGCCTGCCTTGTAACGGTCGAATGATAGTGGCGCTGCCAGTCGTGTTCGTCCTTCAGCGACGAACTAAAGGAGGCCATGGCTTGCGATAGATTCAGTTGACCATGCGCAGTCCGGGTTCGCCAATTAGAAGACATACTAAGTCCCGAGTGAAATAACATGCGAGCGAAGAATGCCAAAAATGCGTGAGGACAGGCCCCTTCACTTTTATGTGAATTGTCTTTATATGCTCCTGGACGGCTGTGCCCATTTCAAGGTTATGTAGTTGCTATTAAATGAAGGGTTCAAGGAGGATTAATAGGATGGGAGGTGATAGACCGCATTCGCTTGGCTCAGGATAGAAATCAGTGGCTGACTGTTCTGAACATGGTAATGAACCTTTAGTTTGTATTAATTGCCAATATTTATTTTATTAGCTTCTCTTTAGGGGCATGGTTTTCTAAAAAACCAATATTTATTGGCATTGTCGGTTTACATAGCGTCCCCTAACATTTGCGGCAGTTTCTCATCACGATCATGTGATCATGTCTCATCACGAGACAGCTGCAGAACGTTCGGAGCGCTCCGCTGGTCCCCTTCGGCTCCCAATGGAAACCGGCGAGTTTCTCAACCCAGTGTGGTCAGTGTGGGTTCGTGTTGATTCGTGTTGCTATGACAAGTGGAAGAAATGAATGAATGTGAATATGAAGAGCGGGATACTTCACTGTAGGAGCTAAGGGAAGAAAGAGTGTGGTTGTAGGTGCGCCTCCGGCTGGGACAGACACACTGAAATTGACTGAATGATTTCATGGAATGTACGACAGTTCAAATGGCGTGACGAATGTGTAAATACAGTTTAAAAATCCGTCACATAATAAACACATTTTAGGTGTTGCAGAACCGAATTTTATTTTAGGAAAGCATTTACTTTAAGTGACCGCCTCTCTGGCTACAGATCCAGAAGTCTTGGGTTCGATTCCCGGCGCTGCCAGATTTTATGAGAAGTAGTGGGTCTGGAACGGGGTCCACTAGCCTCGTGAGGATAATTGAGGAGCTATTTCAAGGAAATAGCGGCTCCGGTCTAGAAAACTGAAATTAACGGCCATTGGGTTTCGTTGCGCTGACCACGCAACCCGGTTTCCAAGCGAGCGAAGACAGTACATGCCTTAGACCGCTCGGCAACCGTGACCGGAAAATAGTGCATATATTTAAGTATTTTTCAATATAAAGCGTTAAGAAATTTAATAGAGTTTGGAATTCATTTGTATATTTTCTTAATTCGTGTTTCCGTTTGTCTTGGGACTATTATAACGCAGTACTTTCTAAGTAGTTAATGCAATACCTCATGCGATCCTGGATATTTCGCGAGATATTTCAGATTTATGAAAATGCAGTCTGCTTTTACCGTTCTCACGGTCTTGTCGCTTGCAGATTTCTTATACTTTTTCCTCTACCCTGAAGATGAAGGCGATACGTTCCTCCGAAACGTCGGTTAACACCACATATACACGGTGCCAAATCCCAGAAGACTGCTTTCTTCATAGTCACCGCCGTGAAAGCCTCAAATCTTACTATTTATTTACTCGTTCGTATTGTTTGTTTAACGACGCTTTCGGTGGCTCAGAAGGTATGCTGTCGAGAAACAGTTGCATTTTGAGTTTATAAGTCTAGAAAATGGAAGACACGACGATAATGAACCGAATTGTGTCACAGGAAGGGGGAAAAGAAACGTACATTTCCTGATCTTAGGTGAAAATTGAAGGGAAACTTGTTAAAGTGAGTGACATCTGACTGACATTAGAGGTCTCAGATCGCATGTCCATTTTGCTTTTCTGGGACTGCTCCGAAGAATCCGTCCAAGGCTCTGTGTACGTAACATCCCAGTGTTTTATTTAGGGTGAAAGATAGTTGGTACCTGCCACGCGAATCCCAAAACTGAAGGACCACCCCTTGTCCTTTCTCCGCGACTGCTCTGTCCAGGACCCCATGGTGCGCCATGCCATGGTCACATGGGACGTACACATAGACCTTGGGTGATATCAAGCTAGTTTAGCGGTAACGCTCTGCATTTGTATTCAAGCGGTGCTCGGTTCGAATCTCTGCCGGGACGCCGTTTGTCCTGGCTGAGTGTTATCGTGGTTGTCTCCTCCAGGCAAATACTAATGCCAGTTTAATGCTAAGAGTAGGCCACAACCACTTCTTTCAAATCCTTTTCAGTTCACCATCAACTACATCCTATTATTCAACGCTGTATAGTCGAGATGTTAAGTAACATTTCGCTGTTTGTTGCTATTCGGGAGCTCCAGATAGCAGCTGCAGCCGTGCGAACTTCTAACGTGGGGATGTCACTGGCGCCGCGAAATGCACGGCCCTGAAGTAGGTAACAGCAGGCCGCGCCATAGCTCAAGCGGTTAGTCGCTGGCTTTCCACCGCGGCGGCCCAGGTTCGAACCCGGGTCTGGTCAAGTGGGATTTGTGGTGGACAAAGTGGCGCTGGTGCAGGTTTTCTCCAAGTACTTCGGTTTCCCCCGCCAATCTTCGTTCCACCAATTGCTCCACAATCACCCTCACCTATCATCTGGGGCTGGTACAGTAGGCCAGAAGTAGCCGCAGTACAAGCGACTTAGTCCCACCCACTAGCTATAAAAATAGGTAACAGTATGCAGCTTTTATAAAAGCATTTGTGAGAGAATAAAAGATAGTAACATGGCGACCAAGAACAATATTTTGGCAAACTTGTGGTAACTTTATCGTGATAACTTATTTATACGTGAACATGTTACATATACTGGTTTAGTCGTGTCATGGGAGTATTTTCACTCGGAAATACATTCATCTTCTGATTCCGCCATGAGAAAATAGAGCAAGTAGGAATGGCTACTTGGTGAGGCGTCTTGCTCCAGTTCGGGGCCCTACGGAGTAAGTAAGTTTTTATTAACCCTTCGACGCAGCGCAGGTATTGTATGCACCATCTGTTTTAACGTTAAAACGCTGTGTATTCATTTTGGCCGTAGACTGTTTCGTATGATTCTCAGAATGACCTGGTATAATTTCCCTAAATTTCCATCACACATTCCTTGCCAAGTATGATAGGTAGGTTCAGTCCCTGTCAACCGACCATTTTACCCAACTACGTCGAAANGGGGGGGGGGGGGGAGAATCGAAGAAATATCAAAGACCCTACATGCCATCTACCGGCAAGGCTATACAACTGTGTACTTCTCGAAGCATGCAAGGCAAGGTTACATGGCCGTCAGAAGTGTTCGTTATGAAATACCGTAGAAAAGATGTTGAAGGTCGGTGTGCGTTGATAAGGGAGATATCCGGCTCAGCAGGAAGTGTGATAACCGACTGGCCTTTGCAGTGGGAACGGACTGTGTTTCCTGTGAGGTAGGAGCTGAATTTGTAAACATCTAGATTAAATTCAGGCATCAAAGCGTTACGGCATTAAATTCAAGCATCAAAGCGTTAAGCCAGCGGACAATGTCGAAAGCAATAATCTCAAGATATCAGCCGAGTACTGTTAATGTGTATATTAGGACGGTCAACACAACAGTTAATTAGAAGGTTACAGTTAGGATGTTACATGCACTGATCAGTTATTTATTGAACTGTAACCTCCTAATTGTGTCATCCGTCCCACTGTACACATTGATATAAACAGGATGCCAAATACGAAAATTAATAGTACTATTAATGAGAGTTTTAGAGCTTCAAAGAAAATAGTGGTGAGTGATTACAATGCCTGATTTTTATTTTTTTTTTAGGAAGAAGCGACACATATTGGTCCAGAAGAGTTGCCACGTGACATGTCCATGTGCTTCAGCTGTCGTGAGTTGCAAGAAATGGCGAGCTAACGCTCATACTTGAGATCAAAGACAAGTGAGAAACAAAGCCAGTGAAATCATAAAAAAAAAAAATACCTATGACAGTACAAAATTATTAGACGATAGGACCCTGTCTTTGTTTGCAATACTGTAGTGTGATAAAGGATCAACCAAAGACAATTTTAAAATGTACAATTTAAATGTGAACGTAGCCACCAGCGCCGCTGCTGCTAGCGGCGGCAGCAGCAACTTGCTGGGCGTGGAGAGTTCGTGTACTACGCCGAAGACTCCTGAAATCTTGAACTCTCTGATCGCCATGACTAACCCGTTCGATGGGTACACGGTGAGGAACGTCCCGCGCATCGCTTCGTGCCCCCCGGGGGGCAGTGATACCAGCTCCTCCAGCACAGGGTCCCCCCTCGGGAGCCCCAGCTGCACCTCACCGCCAAGTGTGCAGCATACTTGCTCCCAGCTCATCAAGGAAGGACTCAAACTCACGATACAGACGAAACGCCGAAACACCGGCCGCCATCTTGAGAACCTTGATTCACCGCGCAACAACAAAATGGCGAGGAGAGAGGAGGTGAGTAGTCAGGATTATGACTATGATGATCTCTTCTCGCCAGGTGTTGGGGTAAGTCAAACATGATGCTTTACGCTTTGCCGAAAATGCAGGTGGCTTTGTGTTCCCGTGATCTGAGGTTACAGTGTCAAAAACGTTTCGTTGATAAAAGCATGATGTCCAATTTCTGTCCTGCTCTTTAATATTTGTTTTACAGTACCAGTGACAACGAACCAGTCCTCTGGTCTTTAAAATTTTAATTGCTTGTGACATTCAAAAAGTAGATTGTATGAGTTGCTGTGCCAACACACGAAGGAAAGAAAGTGTCTCTTCTTAAAAATACATGGCAGGGAAAGGTTTTTAACCGTTATGTTCGGAACACGTAACTCATGTGATGAAGCTGGTTATCTTAGATACTTAAATTTAAAAGGTAATAAGTTAGAAGGTTCATTAGTTAAGGGATTTAAAGCCAGCTGAACCCTAGGTACTGGTTACTGGCTGCCGTCAGCACACGACGACGGTAAAACCAGAAGTTGGATTAACATGGCTCTCAACATAACTTGCAGTTGTATATCTACTTATGACGGATTAAGTCGGTCGTCAGAGCCTCGTTTGTGAAGGTATACATAAAAATCCAAGTATGTATACCAAAGGGGCTCCGAGGAACGCTAATCTATTATTGGAAGCATGGTTAATCGTGTTGCCTAGGGCGTCACGTTTCACGATTGAAGCCACCAGTGTTTGATCGGCATCGCAGTGCTTAATGCAGTGTTCATATTCCTGTTAGCACATCGAACATTGAACATGTATTTGATTGTCCAGTGGTACATCGTGTTCGTCATTTCGTTTTCGACTGTAATGAATAGACAGGTTTTCACAACCACCGGTAACTACCTTTATCGGAAACAACACTACAGTATACCACATAAAAGTCACACTACATTATCAGCACAGTAGTATACACCAAATTAACAGCACTACTTCACACAATACTGACAAAAAACTAAGTTACGACGCACAATACCTACAACACGAAACTAAGTTACGACACAAAACTGCATCACATAATACTGACAGCACAAATCGCATCACATAATACTGACAGCACAAATCTATTTTTTTTATTGCTATTGGAGTGGGACCAAGTCCCTTGTACTGCGTCCACTTCTGGCCTATTGTACCAGCCCCAGATGATAGGTGAGGGTGATTGTGGAGCAGTTGGTGGAATGAAGATTGGCAGGGGAAACCGAAGTACTCGGAGAAAACCTGCCCAAGAGCCACTTTGTCCACCACAAATTCCACTAGACCAGACCCGGGATCGAACCCGGGCCGCCGCGGTGGAAAGCCAACGACTAACCGCTTGAGTTATGGCGCGGCCCAGCACAAATCTAAGTTACTACGCACAATACTCAACACAAAACTCAGTTACGACGCAACACTGCATCACACAGTACTGACAACACAAAACTAATTTACTACGCACAATCCTGACAACACAAAACTGTTACGAGGCACAATACTGACGACACGGAACTAAGTTACGACCCAGCACTGCATCACACAGTATCTCTCGGAAGAACTGCCTATAGAGCCTACTGGCCTTGAACAGGAAACAGTGCAGACTGGTAACATGATTGTTAACTGGCCACTGTGCCTCTCCTGTAACGCCATATGCAGGAAGGGAGGACATGAGGAGGGAGTATCATCCTACCCAGCTTTGGCTGGTCATGGGATGGAAATCTTCGTCTTTATTGTGGTAGAGCCAGCAGATATTAGTAGGGGCTCAGTGAAACGAGGTCTGAGCCTGTGAGCCAGCAGATATTAGTAGGGGCTCAGTGATACGAGGTCTGAGCCTGTGAGCCAGCAGATGATAGTAGGGGCTCAGTAAAACGAGGTCTGAGCCAGCGGATGATAGTAGGGGCTCAGTGGAACGAGGTCTGAGCCTGTGAGCCAGCAGATAGTAAGGTCTCAGTGAAACGAGGTCTGAGCCTGTGAGCCAGCAGATATTAGTAGGGGCTCAGTGAAACGAGGTCTGAGCCTGTGAGCCAGCAGATATTAGTAGGGGCTCAGTGAAACGAGGTCTGAGCCAGCAGATATTAGTGAAACGAGGTCTTGTCCTATTGCTTGGGACAGGGCTCTGTTGAAGAGCTTTAGTGAAAAAAGAGACGCACAGTGGAGCCCCCCATTGGAGGTGTTGAGTGCTTGGGGCGACCGGAGGTTGTCACCCACGTGTTAGTACAACGCTGACACCACATTTGTTACACTACATCACACGAGCAGTGCAAACTCCATGGCACTCCCCACGGAGTTCCTTCGCTCTAGGTCTGATGTGAAGTTCACTGCTTCTCGTTTCAGCTGACGGCCGAAGACGAGGAACGGCGAAGGCGGCGTCGGGAGAGGAACAAGATCGCCGCCACAAAGTGTCGGCTGAAGAAACGCGAACGAACGGTGAACTTGGTGCAGGTGGGTTCTGAGAAGTCTGTTGTAAAGGTAAAGTTGTGTGAGGTTATTGGCTTCGGCACTATATGGAGGTGTGAGGACCCCTTCACTCCCAGTCCGCGTTACGCCGTCGGAAAGAGCTCCCAAAATGGGTGGGACTTGGCCATTCTGGACACTCTGGAGAAGTGAAGATTTCTTGCCCGTGCCTGTAATCGAATCCATGTTGCCCGACCTTCAAGCCCGCAGTCCATCACTATAAGCCTATCAGCTGAACTGTTTCAACTCCTGTTTATTTGTAATTCCAGCTGGAGAACTTCCTTCTCACTTGAATAAGGTTATTGTTGTAAATATACCAGCCAACCAAGCTGCTGTGTCCTCATGCAGTATTCATTGGCGCACAGAGCATGGGTGTGATGTGGGTGACACGCACTTCCCAAAGTGTCGGATTCGAATCTCGGCTTGGGGTCTGGCTCTTGTGACCGATTATTTGTATGATTTCTTCCATCTTCAGTTAAATGACAGGTTAGGACCTCAAATTAGGCCAAGGCCACGCCGAGGCTTCAACATTTTATAGACAATCGGCTCACAGATGGCGGTGAAGCAAATGAAGCACGAAAAAAATAAATACTGTCCTTCAACATGCTTCCAGTTCCATTGTTACTAAGGATGGCAGACTTGCGAGCACGGCAGTGGACCCTCCGGTTTCGTTATCAACTGAGCTCCTGTTTCAGGAAGGACGCTGCTTTATCGATTACACTTAAATGGATGGGTTTTGTAAACACTTTAATGAACCTTCGGGTTTGACAAAGGGCGCAAAATGTATGTAGTTGCTAAGTGACTGTTAAAAGGTGAAGTTATGCCTGTAACAGGCAGTGGGGGGGCCAGTAGCCTTGTGAGACGTCAAAGCACCCACATAGATAGTCGTCATTGAGATGGCGGTGAGGTTGTCAGCCTTACGCGCCAGCCTTCCTTTACCCCTAGGAAGATTGCTGGTACAAATTTCTGTTAGAGGCTGAGTCGACCCGTTACCAAAGCCTCCTACATGGTGCACTCGTATTAAGTCCGAGAGCACGCAATAAGAGTCCAGCCTCGACGAGACTAGTCAGTTTTTGGTGTAGCTCCGACTAGAGTAGAAGCCAGCTCCCATCCGACAGAGGTCAGAAGACACTTCACCGAGATCAGCGGTGCAAGAAGTGATTATAACAGTGAAGAACAAACGTCTAAAAGACTTTGTAAGTGAAGAATAATTGTACTTGCGAGTGTAAAAGAGATTGTTCAATAAACGCATTCCCCAAATCCGAGACCCACGTGAATTTCTTGTCGCGTTACCAACGAAACACGCGACAATACTAAATTCCATACTTGAGTTACAGAGACAGTAACTATACAAGAGTGGATGAAATTATAAGAAACTCTTTTGTGTGATCAGTTATTATTATGAAGGTTATGAAGGTTGGGTAGAAAGTTTCCTCGAAGTCTGAGAAGAAACTTTGAGAATAATATTGTAGCGTGTAGAGCCGGTACTGGGTAACGACCTCGAAACAGACAACGAAACATTTGCTGCCAGGCAACAGATTCTTAATAAGCAAGTATACGCAGCCGTTACTTGGTAACGCCTTCAGAAACAAACACATTCCAACGGAATGCCTCATTTTGCTTCTTGAGATCTAATCTCTCCATATTAAACGTTTGCGTTCCTCATTTATTACTTCCAATCTCAGACATCAGTACACTTGAATGCCATCTCCTGTTTGTGAAATTCGAGCACCATAATTGTGTGTCTTTCCTTCACAGGATGTCCAGTTAAGCTTGAATGTTATGATGTGGGAACATTGTGCTTTTGACAGTGAGATTTCTGGATTTGGCCAAGTTTACTGCTCTAATTCTAGTATCGCTAATTTAGTGTAAACACTCATTCCCAGCTGTTGATTTCAAAATAGCTGCCTTACCTACTTTGATATTGAAATCTAACACTGTACTTATTCCTTTCATTATATTTACACATTTTTTCAGTCCGTGGGACAGTGCACAATGTTGCAGACAGTATAAGTCTTTCCAGACTTCTCTGTAAATTAACGTGAGAGAGGCTTTGGTGCCAATGATAGCTAATAGTTCAAAATCGATTTTGTACTGACCCCTTGTAATACATATATGATTCAGAATTAGTGGGTTTTGGACTTTTTCCATTGTTCGGTATTCTAGGAAATAGAAAACATGACGTTTCAGTAACTGATGTTTCTGCCCTCAGTGTTAGCACTTTCTAAGGGACTCGACTGAATAGGTGTCTCCCTCCACTCACCCGAGTACGGAAACAGATCCAGTTTCTGAAACATCACTTTTTTTTTTTTGTAGAATATTGGACGATGGAAAAAGTCCAAAAACCCAGTAAATCTGAGTGTTATACACCATGGTCAGAACCCTTTGGAATCTACATACTTGTATATGACTTACATGCAGTAGGTGACCAGATCTATTCATCAGGCAGGTAAATTCTTAGAGATCTAGCAGAACCAACATCATTGCTCAACTGTTTTCAGTGTTACACAGGGAGGATAAATGAGTTACATGTTGTAAAGGGGGCATGCGGTAGCGTAGTTGGTTAAGGCACTATGCTACAAGCCGGAAGGTTGCGGGATCAAATCCCGATGAGGAGGATTTTTTCAATTTACCAAATCCTTGCAGCCGTACTATGGCCCTGGGGTCGACACAGCCTCTAGCAGAAATGAGTACCAGAAATCTTGGGGGTAAAGGGCAGCCGGCATGTAGACAACCTTGCTGCCATCTATGAGCCGATTGTCCAGAAAATGTGGGAACCTCAACATCTCACAACCCTATGGGCGACCACGGTGTGTTACAGGGATACCTTTACTTTCTTTACTTTACATGTTGTTGTAAATTGTTGTAGGAATCTGAAGTCCTTGAAAATCAGAATCAGGACTTGAAGAGCCAGATTCAAGAACTGGAGACACAGAAGCGTCGTCTGATGGATATGTTGTCCATGCACAAGCCCACATGTATGAAGAACCTCGTTTACAGCACAAACACTGCTGGTGCTAGCTACTGTGGAGACCCTACATCATCAATTGGAGGAGCATTCTGTACCAACACGACCACAACTACCACCACCTCTGCTGGCGGATACCATGACTACAATGGAGTTTACCCTGACAATGGTTGCATGGCATAGCTAACTCAAATGGGTATTATTGTTTCTGTTGCTGAACACTCTTGCTGTATACATGTACACATCTAAGACATATAATGAAGTATTTAAAATGTCTTGTGACCACTGAATGACCATAGCGTTTCTTCAGCACAGCAAATTAGCCACTCCTCATGGAGTAACACAAACTGTAGCCATTTGATTTTGTTTTTGAAATGTAAGTCAAGAAAACATTATATTTCAGTGTTTTTTGTAATGGTATAGAAGTTTTCACAAAACAGAAGTGAACACTGAAGCCATTGCTGATGGCTGTGAGTAAGTGCAAAGCCAGAGGAAGGAAATAAAAAAACTATGTGTATTAGCAGTGCATCTTACAAAGGACTGCCCTTCAAAGAGATGATAAACACAAGATGCTTTCAGATGACTGTAAGCTTACAGAAAAGACAACTTTGTGTTGTTTGTGAGGAAGCAGACTGTAATCCATTCGCACAAACCACAAGTCACAAACAATACACCTGCAGCATTCCACCCTTTTGTGACATAAGGTACTATCGTATAAAAAAATCTCTTAAAGTTTGCTTGCCACAAGAAACCTAAGTAAACGGTGGTCTTATAAGGAATTAAAACGATTTCTGCGGGAAACATTATTCAAGTGAAATTCACATAACATATTTTTTCAAGTTGTTTGAACTTATGGAGAGTTTAGGTGTACTAACTGTGGGTACATTATAATAGAGTATATGTAAGATTTTTTAATGTTCTGGGTGCCTTGCATCTGATGTGCAGAATTGGGTTTTAACCAGGGCTTGAGGTGGGGCGGGATGCGGCAGTATGGCATCCCGGTTCTTTTTTAAATGGCTTAAAAGCATCCTGTTACTTCTTTGGCAGTAAATGCAATGTACAATACCTTTTTTTGGAAAATATTCTAAAGATAACTACTCGTAATGCATGTGTGACTTTATTTTAACGCATGCCATTTAAACTACTGTAATATGTTCGTAGGTCTTAGATGGAACACAGACTATATACGTCACTCGGTATATTTTCATAATTTATGTCTATGAATTAAAAGGGGAAAACCATCCCGGTTCTATTTTCATTCCACCTGAAGCACTGGTTTGAACCACATATTGTGTTGAAGCTAGTTCCAGCATTTTGGTGTACATTGCTGTCCAGTCCCTTCACACTGAACAAGGTGGAAGGAGACTCTGGCATTCCTACAAGTATCAGGCCACATCCTCCACCTATCTCCTGCACCCTGAAGATGGCAATCAGTGCATGGTGGAATGTTGGAACACTTTCATAGGAAATGGCTAAATATCAAAGGCCTAAGTTACACATCATCATTCTAAGTGTGTTTTATGTGTTCTCTGTAATTCATTAGGAACAGAATATTCGTTCTTAAGTACATAGGCATGCATAGCCTAGAAAATATAGGTTACCCTTGGCCTTGTATGTTCTGAAAAGAATAATGACTTGAGAGTCATGGCTGAACCTTAAGCTTTTTATTCAGGTCCAGTAGAGCAGTTTGCAGTAGCCTGTGCAATATCTCAGAACAGAGACTACGAATCAGTTTGATGGGGGTAGAGTCTGCTTGGTTAACTCATCACATAGTGTGTTGTTGTGATCTGGTGACCTGAGCGAGTGGGTCATCTCACTAGCCTTGTGCATTCCTCAGTCCTTCCATGAGCACTCTTGTTGTATATGTGTTCTGTCTTTCTTTACTTCTCTTTCTGTATTGATTCTGTCTTGGGGGTGTGGGGGGGGGTATGTGCATGCGCCCACTCACTCTCTCCAAATGTGACTTGCAGGATGTTGTGGCCTCTCAAATTCTTAGGTGGCAGAGACAGATGTAGTTACTTTGCCTGTAGCTACTGTGTTGTGAAGGTGAGCCTGAAAAATGCCACAGTTTACATAATGTACCTTGTGGCAAACAAGTATCATAGTAATGAGGATTTCTGCACGGCATAACAGCAGTATACAGTGCAACAAGATTTAGGTTGTGCAGAGCCAATAATGTCACAGTGTCTGTGATCATGGAAAGCTGCAGATTCAAGACATAGTGTGACGAGCCATGGACTTCGTTTAAAGGGATCCAGTGCCTTTGCAATAAGATTTTTAAAAAAAGTTATAAAGACATGCTCTACCTGTTCACATTAAGCCTTCCGTGTTATATTTTTGTAATTTTTACTTGACATGTTGTTTTTTAAGTAGGGTCGGAATTCTATAGGCTCAGGGAGGAGATATTTTGAGTTTAAAATTCCTTTTCATAGAATTGGAAATGTCTACTCTTGTGTGCCATATTTGGTCTGTTTGGTGAATCATCAACAGGGAGACTTCATTGGCATGCTAGGCCAAGCCTTGCTGTCTGATAATACTCCTACTTTCCTTCAGAATTACGGCCCTGTATTTTATACTCATTAATTATAGATATGGAATGTTGTTTTTATACATATTATGTTCACTTTGTTATGCACCACCTCACTTTATTGTTAAGGTGCTTAAGTCAGGTGCTAACTGCCCCCTCAAAGAGGGTGCAGTGCTTTTCATGTGTTCACAGTTCTGTTACTTTCTCTCAGTATATGCAGTTCTTCCTTCACATGAAATTTCATACTTTAAAGGAATTCTAAAACACTTTATAAACAGTGGATCTTTCAGACAGCTCTCATTTTAGTAAGTGGGAAAATATCATCTGGACACTGAATTGAAATTGATTTGTTCCATGCCTTTGTTTATCTTGCTTCCTGAATGGTTGAGGTGTAATATATACCGTCCTTTTGATGCTCTATAATATGAGTTGCTGACACCATTTTTAAATGAACCACAAATATGCTGTCCCTGTAATTCCTTGCATATCACCATGTCCATTGTGACTTAACACTTTGCAGACTGCGCACCCTTTAAAAGGTTTTTCGCTTTTAAACATGGCGGACTGTTGGCGTGTTAACAGGCTTTTAAAAGACGATAAGTTGCAACACACTATACATCTCTCTGGCTCCACCTAGCTAGCACGTAGCTGCTTGCAGCTGCGTTATAAGGCTCTGGAATGTCTGCTGACCAATCAGTTACTAGACCTCGCTGTAACTCTATGCTCCTGCAAAGGAAAATAAATGCCTTTATTTCTTCAAGCTTTACGTAGCAAGCTGTCAGTCAGTAGTTCAATATGGATCAAAGACCAAAGTGGTTGACACCCAAGCGATTTCTTGGAGAACAAGAAATATCTGACTTCTTCTCCGGTGAGGTATCTGACGTCCCTTGTGAGTCTGCTAGTGATAGCGACTCACAATCTGATAGTGAGTGTGGCAGGGGCGAACAAAAAATTGTGACCACAGAGTGAAAGTGAAAGTGACCGTAGCTCCGACGAATGTGCAGGTAGCAACATTGCGGGGACAGCCACATGGGGAAAAGTAGACAAAACGCCTGCTTTGGGACAGTTTACTGGAAATCCAGGGGTGAAGCAAATTCCATCGGACCCAACGCAAGTGTCTGAAGTAGCGGAACTGTTTTTTGGAGATAGTTTCTTTGACATGCTATGTCAGGAAACTAACAGATACTATCTCCAACACCGTGAACATTATGACAGAAGTTATAAGGCGTTGAAGTGGGTGGATGTCACTTCAGCAGAAATGAGAAAATTTTTTGCAATTATCTTTCTAATGGGCCATACAAGGAGGGATAATCTGAAAGAGTATTGGTCAACAGATCCATTTTTAGAAATTCCAATTTTCGGCAAACTAATGAGCTGTAAGAGATTTGAGCAAATTTGGTGGTGTTTGCATTTCAGTGATAATGAACTGCAACCACAATCAACAAGCAGACTTTTCAAAATTCAGCCCTTATTGAACTTTTTTGTTCAGAAATTTCAGATAGTTTATAAGCCAAACCAACAACTGTCTTTGGACAAATTTGTGATTCCTTGGAGGGGAAGGCTTCGTATGCGAACATATAATCCTGGGAAACTTACAAAGTATGGCCTACTTGTTTGTGTAGTTACTGAAAGCCCTTCAGGCTATATTGGAAATTTAGAAATTTATTCTGGTGAAGGAAAGAAATTACAAGAAACTATTCTTTCCATTTTGGAACCCTGTCTTGATCAAAATTACCATGTCTATCAAGACAATTATTATAACAGTGTGGAAACTGCAGAACACCTATTTTCAAGAAAAGTACATGTTTGTGGAACAATTAGGGCGAACAGAGACCTTCCTCCAGATCTGAAAGTGGAATGTAAATCCCTGAAACGTGGCGAAACCACATTCAGGAGGAAGGGGGATATTCTTCTTCAGTCCTGGAGGGATACTCGTGTTGTGAATATGATTTCCACAATTCACAATTCGAGCATGGTTGATGTTCAAAGGAGACATGGACAGGTAAAGAAGCCTGTTTGTATTTCTGAGCATGATATGTTCATGAAGGGAGTTGATAGAGCCGATCAGTACTTGGCCTATTATTCTCTTCCTTGGAAAACAGTAAAGTGGACAAAGAAAGTTGCCTTGTGGCTTATAAATTGTGCCATTTTCAATTCATTTTTGGTTTTCAAAAATCTAAACCCTCATTCAAAATTGAAATACAAGGCATTTCTGCTGAATGTGGCAAAAGCCTGGGCTACAGACCACATGGTGGCGGCAGACACAGTCTTAGTACAACCGGTTCGTCTACTCCCACCCCACGCAGGCCTCATTTTGACCCCCCTGGGCAACTCTCGGGTGATATGCGGAAACATACCCTCGCAAAAATTGTGAAGAGTGAACATTTCAAGGGGAAGCAGCCTTCTAGGCAATGCTGTGTTTGCACAATTCACAAGGAAAGGAGTAGGACTGCCCACATTTGCAAGTCTTGTGTAATGCCACTTCACAGAGGGGAATGTTTCGAGAAATATAACACCCTCAAGCACTTCTAGAAGCATTGGTAAGTGTTCTAAAAAAATTTTAGTTCATAAAATTAATTAGGAGATTTTATATTAATTTTTTAAAGTGAACAGTGCCCAAGTTAGGGTAGTAGGTATAAAAATGCCGGTCCGCAGGGTGATTTAAATATTTAAATTGCCGGTCCGCAAAGTGTTAAGGAGGAGGCAAGTGGTGATCATCACACTCCAGCCATTGTCACCCTATGAGAATTGTCCGGTTTACCCACTCTGGTGGGTTTTGTAGACTACTAATCACCGTGAAAGTGGTGCAGAAGAAAGACTTTTTTTATATTCCTTGCTGAGGACTTAAGCCGTCTAGTTTGCACCCAGTCATCTGTTATCTTGATACCTGGCTCTTCATGTTTGTTATTCAACCTAAGTTCGTTTCTTTCGAGTTGGTGATGATGCTCCTTTTAGCCCTCCTGGCCAATTCCTGTCTCAGTCATATCTGCATATAGAATTGTTAATTATATGTTGCCTGTTGTGGCATGGCAAACCACAAATTGCATCTTCAGTACAGTGTGCCAGCCCTCATAAAATTGGAGACCTGTTACCACAATCATTCCTAGCTGTTTATTGTGGTTTAGACTCTCTTTAGAGGAAAAGTGTGTGTGATTGGTGCACACCGTTTATTGAATCTTACAACTAAGCACTTCAAAGGAAATGAGACATCCTTTCTGACACCGCCATATTATGTGTTCCTAAATGAAATGAGAAGTTGTTAGGTGTGATGATGAGAACATCGTTCCACTCACAAAATTCATGTCACGTGAATCTTCTAAACCATTTGAAATCCATTTATTAACATGTGACACAACATTTAGTATGTTTGAAATTTAAAACTATCTTGAGATTTTTAGGCATTCTTTGCAAAGTATGTGTAAGGCATGTCTCTTTGTCCATCTGTCTGCTTGTGACATAGTGGCAGCACCCAAAACTGTTTTTTTCTAATTCAGCATCAGAGACTTGAATTGAAGTACCTGGTAATTCAGATGTTTAGCCATAGTGACGTGTGATAAAGTGCATTTTACTTCAGGCCATAACATGTTTGTTATAAAGAATTAATGAACAACAGTTTTATAAACAGGTCACAAATAAGCTTAATAAACTGCAAAGAACACTGAGAATTTATATCCTTTATGCAGTGCACTGTTTCCAGTCTTCTTGCAAATATCAAAGAGAGTTTAAGGAAAGACCCACCCCTCCCCCCATTGATATCCTTTAATCTGAAAGTGTGACTGATCTTGAAGTCAGATTCTTATTTTAATTCTTAGCGTTCTTGGACCTAGTCCAACATTCAGCTAAAAAGTAATTTCCTTAATTTTCGACCAAGACTTAGGACCTCAAAGGATGAAACATTAGCTAAACATGTGACCTGGATTTTAAAAAATGCCAGAAGTTTCATAATTTTTGTCACGCAGCCAACATAATTCAGACTGTTTGTTGCATTACCACATAAATCAGATCCTGCAGGTGGTTAAGAATTCTAATATATGTAGCTTCAGCTACCAAACTTCTGAATTAAGGAAGTTGATGTTTCACTGATATCTCTGCCATGACCAAGTTGTGTTATTTTCTGTGATAGATTTCATATTGCATACTTCTAAGGTAATCCAGAATGATCATGGACCCTCCTGTGCTGGTATAGGTTATGTAATACACGTCCTTTGATGCTTTTGTGGACAGCAAAAGGAACAAGGAATGTAAGATACCAGTTATATATATGCATACTTATTTCTCTTTGTGATTTCAGAAGCTCTATGGTAATTTTAAGTATTACTTAAGAAGTTTCTGTTGCTTTCTTCCGGCATAATTGTCCATGTATGTGTTCATTTTGGATTAGCATGCATTTGTACTAAAGGATTTTACTATTATAACCCATTCTTTAATCCACAAAATGCACACAAATCCAAATTTCAGTATAATTGTTACAAAAAAGAAGCACATTACTATTTTTAGGAGGCTATAAACATTTTTCGAACCTTGTTTCTAGTTCTAGTTGTGTTGAAGAAGGAATCCTGACTATTAACTTCTTCACCTCTACTGCATATTCAGAAGTTTAATTGCTAATGTTTTACATAGCACAGCAGGCAAAGAGAAAATTATGCTGTTTTAAATGAAATAATTGTTAACATGGTGCAGCTGTTTCATCTGAATATGGAAGTTTTGGGAACTCAAAAGCTGCAGTCTAGCACTTGGTTTGATTGCATTTCTTATCTAGATGTAAGTCACTTACTTTCCACTTGTTTTACTTTAATGTACTTGTGTACCTGGACTGCTGTGGGCTTTGTAAAGGACCACTTGTATTTTTTCTATCATTAAATGAATCTTACAGATAAGCACACCAGTCTGCAATACACCTCTCATCCCTCACTTTATATTGTCATGGTTCAATAAGTACATAGTCTATGTCACAAGCATAGCCCTTGGAAAAGAAGAAATGGCAGTACACCTGTAGGCTGTTCAGGACGAATAGTCTCAAGGAGGGAGCAATATGGGATGTAGACCCTTTGCTATGCAACGACCACAAAATAAGCAGCTGTACAACAACCGTTCCTAGGCAATGGCTAAGTAGTGATTACATGGGCATTGGAACAGATGAGAATGCAACAGAGGAACGGTTTATTTACTTGTATTTTCAGATCTGTAAGAGTCCAGCAATTCCAATTACCAATCCAAACCCCATGTGCAGAAGCAGTTCCAGACATCCACCAGTCCTGTGGTGGCCACTTTCCAAAGCCACAATATTTCTTTCATTCCTTTTCAATAATTTTGTCTATGAATCAAATGTTCGGAATGAACCTGAATCTGTCTTCACACTTCGGTTATGCATAAAATTGTAAATGAAGACAACTTGGCTGGTTAGTGGCTACCAATATTTCAGAGGAAAATAACACCTCTATCTTTTGGATATAGGCAGTAAATTCCTCTGAAACGTCAGTAACTACTAAACAGATTACAGACAGACACAACCTACATCACAATGTAAAAGACAACACGTGTCAGAATGTGATATGATTTATGATGTCCTCAACATGTTTAGGTAAACAAGAAGAAATCCGCAGCTGGTTTAAATTTAAACACGTTATTTTGCAGGACTGAACCTGGTGAACGAGCACTAGACTATGAATGTAGAAGTACTTGAAATATGATTTAATTAAGACATTTAATTTTAAATCAGAGTAATTCAGATTTGCCGAGTATGATTAGAAATCGAGGAGGATATGGGCAGGGCACGAATGTGGGAGAGGAGAAATGCATATTTGA